CTCACAAATCATACACGGTATCACCCTTCGTGCTTTAACACTCTTCCTTACCCAAACAACAATCACAAGAAATAAGGGCAAGGAAATAAATGAAATTACAATAAAATCCCGGCAAGGGAACAATAGTACAACAATCAAATCCCGGCAAGGGAAACAATATCGAAACAATAACATCCTAGCAAGGGAGACAATATCATGATTCTCTCTCTCCTTTCTGCTTTCACATTTACTTCACAACTCAATTCACAACTTGAGCCAATGCTCTATAATGTTCAACAATTCTATTCTTAACTTGAGCCAATGCTCTACAATGTTCAACAATACAATTCTCAACTTGAGCCAACGCTCTACCATGTTCAATTAACAATAATACTTCCACAAGTCATATTCCTCAATAGAAATTATCATATAGAGAATGAACAATACGAAACGGAGTCACATTAATCAAAGTATAAGACTCACGGGCATGCTTGACACCAACGTATAGATACTCGTCACCATGCCTATACGTCGTACTCAACAAACAACACATAGCAAATAGGACACAACTCCTAATCCCTCAAGCTAAGGTTAGACCAAACACTTACCTTTTTGAAGTTAGGCCGATATTCCAAAATAGCCTTCTTGCTTGAATTGACCTCCGAGAGGCTCAAATCTATCCAAATTAATTGTATAACTTTATTAAAATACATTGGAAACAATTCCGGATGATAAAACATTGACTTAAAAATTCACATTAAAAAGTCAACGAAAAGTCAACGCGGGACCCGCCTCTCGGAACCCGACTTGATTTTTATGAAATCCGAACACCCATTCCAATACGAGTTCAACCATACCAATTTTATCAAATTCCGACATCGGATTGTTCTTCGGATCTCAAAAATTCATTTTAGAAGTTTCTAAAAATTTTCTCCAAATTTTCACCCCAAATCATGAATCAAATGATGAATTCAATGATAGACTCATGTACTCTAGCCAAACCTGAGTTAGAATCACTTACCCCGATGAATTTCTTGAAAAACCTTCGAAAAATCGCCAAAATCCGAGCTCTCTAGGTCAAAATATCAAATAAAACCCAAAACCTCGTATTTATAGAGTACCCCACAGATTTCCACCTCTGCGGTCCGCACAAAATCGACCGCGGTCCACACAAAACCAGTGCAGTCCGCACAAAAATGACCGCGGCCGCACAGGTTTTCTCTGCAGTGACAGACTTTAGTATTTTGGCCATAACTTTCTCTACAGATGTCCAAATGCCTATTATAATATGTTTCTGAAAAGTAGATTCAAAGATCTACAACTTTCGTTTTTGAATCATCCCCAAATTCCTTGTATATTAAAAGATATGAGCTTCCGAAGTTGGACCAACGACCTGCGGATTCTTCATGACCGCGGACTGCGGACCATTTTCCGCGGCCGCACTAAATCCACCGCGCCCAGCACTAAATCCACCGCGCCCAGCACTAAAACTTCTGCCCCCATCCATTTTCTAAGTTCCGGAATGTCCGGACTCGCTCAAAACTCACCCGAGGCCCTCAGACCTCAACCCAAACATACCAACACCTCACATATCATCATTAACACCTAGTCGAGCCTTCGAATCACTCAAAATAACATCAAAACACCAAATCAACTTCGGATTCAAGCTTAAGAACTTAGAAATTTCAAATTCCACAAACAACGCCGAAACCTATCAAATCAGGTCCGATTGACCCCAAATTTTGCACACAAGTCATAAATGACATAATGGAGCTATTCCAACTTCTTGAGTCGGATTTTGATCTCGATATCAAAAAGTTAACCCCTCGGTCAAATTTCCAAACTTCGGCTTCTCATTTTTGCCATTTTAAGCCTAATTAAACTACAAACTTCCAAATAATTTTCCGGGCACGATCCTAAATCCAAAATTACCATACGGAGCTATTGGAATCATCAAAAAATCTATTCCGGATTCGTTTACTCATATTTCACCTTCCGGTCAATTTAATTCAACTTAAGCTCTCTTATTGGAGACTAAGTGTCTCAATTCCTTTCAAAACCTTTCCGAACCCGAACCAATTTCCCCGGCAAGTTACATAAGAACCGTGAAGCATGAATTTAGCAGTATATGGGGAGACGAGGTTGTACTTATTCAAAATGACCGGTCGGGTTGTTACAATAAGGGATTTTTACCTTCCTATATACTATTTGAATTTTTATTACCCTCCCTACTCAAGTTTCAATTTAATTACATATGCATATAGAATTTACCAATTATATACACTTTAGGAATTAAATGAGTATCCCTTTATATTAGGAATTGAATAAGGAATCAACTATTTCCCATCCTTATTCTCTCTCCCTCCTGCTCTCTCTCTCTCTCTCTCTCTCTCTCTCTCTCTCTCTCTCTCTCTCAATTTCTCATTCTCTGTTCTTTCCCCAATTTTTCTTCCTCTGATATCCTCTATTTTTTATCCTTTCATGTTGTATATATTTTTAATGAAATTCATCAATGGATTTCGATCGTTTTACTATAGAGTTTTAACTTAGCAATTTCCTTTCATGTTGCACAATTGGTGTTCAAATTGAAATTGTCAATCAATAAATTTTGAAGGTATTTGAATCTCCACCATTGACAATCATTAAAAAGCTTTGAAGCTTTGAATTTGAATTTGGGTTTTCAAAAACCATTATTTGTTTTGATTGGGTGTTGTTGCAAACAATTAAGAATATTGTTTGGAGTTTATATCTCAATTTTGAGGGTGTTTGGTGAAGATTAGACTTGATTTTGGCTGAATTTCAGATTGAAACTCGAAGAAGAAGAAGAACACATGACATACAATATACTTACGAAATTGTAGTGAAGTTATAGTATAATTGTATGTAAATTGTATTCTGTTGTAGTTATATATATTTTTTATTTGAATGTTGTATAAAAGTTGAAAAATAGTTGTATAATATATGAATCGTTGTATAAAATTTGTATTATAAATTATCAATACAATCTTTTTACATAAAGTTATTGATATGCATCAAAATTGTATTAAGAGATAAAGTTTTGATTGGAATTTTAGAGAGGAAGAAACACACACCACATACAAAATATATACAAATCAGATACAAAATATACAAAAAGAGATATTGTATAAAATTTATATGAAAATTATATTTAAGTTGTATGATGTTATAGATGTATTTAAACTGGATAAAAATAATGTATAAAAGTTGTAAACAAGTGTATACTATATAATTAGTTGTATGCAATTTATTTTTAGTATGTATGTTGTTGTAGATATATCAATTTGTATTAAATTTGTACGAAAATTATTTTTAAATTTATATGTTGTTGTACCATCAAATTATATAATATTAATTGTAAGTACGATGTATCCATTTTAGTACTGATTTAAATAGGTTTCGTTAATTTGTGATAGATTAGTGTATTGGGTAAGTTAACCAATCAAGTGAAGCAGAATACTTTACTAGCCTCGCACGATAGTTATTAACCTCGTAAAATCTTTGAACAAATTTTGATACATATCAACACCTTTATGTAAAAAGATAGTATTGATAACTTGTATACAAAATTTATACAACGATTCATACATTATACAACTATTTTTCAACTTTCATACAACATTCGAATAAAAAATATATATAACTACAACAGAATACGATTTACATACAATTATACTACAACTTTACTATAATTTCGTAATTATATGGTATGTCATGTACTCTTCTTCTTCTTCTTCAAGTTTCAATTTGAAATTTAGCCAAAATTAAGTCTAATCTTCACCAAACACCATCAAAATTGAGATATAAACTCCAAACAATACTTCCAATTGTTTGCAACAACACCCAATCCAAACAAATAATGGTTTTCGAAAATTCAAATTTAAATTCAAAGCTTTTTAATGATTGTCAATGGTGGAGAGTCAAACGCCTGAATACTAAAAACACTTTACTGCTCATCGTCGAGGAGGATTTTCATCCAACTCATTTCATCCATTATAGTTGGGTTAATTCTTCAAAACTTTATTTCCTAGTTTGCATTGTAGTTGGAAATAGCCCAAAAAAATGGGCTTTCCATTGGGCTGCAATATGACACTACTTTCATGTCTAAGTGGACTGTATAATAGTAATAAGTTAAACATTGTTCTTTGGGATTTTTTCATTCCTGTACAATATTTGAAGCATTGTTCTTTGGGTTGGGCCCTTGGATCTAGAATTTATGTCTAGGCCGGGATATCTTAGTTATTCAAGTGCATAGATAGCCATTCTCATGGATGTTATTTAGAGATTATCCAGTACTTATTTTGTCTCGAAATTTTAAACTAAAAATCATAACTTAAGGACAACTCTGGACATTTTTGTCCTGAAAAAATGAAATTCAGGATGCACTCGTTAATTCCTAAATAGTAGCCCTTTAGAGTGGTTACTCGATCTCATTTCTACTGTTTTTCTTCTTTCTTTTTTTCTATCCTAGTTGATATACTGCGCTTCCACAAACAAATTTGAAAAATGTAAAATTACGTTGATTTGTATGTTTTGAAGTTACGTTTATAATTCGCAATATACACTTTGTACAAAATAATTTTTCTGTTATATGTTTAGTTCTACATTCTCAAATAATTGAAGATCTTATGTTTTTTTTTCCTACCATTCTCTGACCCTTAAAGGTAAAAAATAAAGTTATAATTTTTCATCAAGGTCAAGCAATCAAAGTTGTCAAATTGAATAAATCGAAATCGCAAAGAAAAAAATCAATCAACACTAAATTTAATTAGAATTAATACAAGTATAGTATTTTAAAAAATTCCAATACCGAAAATAATGAACATTAATATGTTGGACACAAAAATTAGCTGTTGTGTAATTCGACTAAACACACTAAACTTTTTATAAATTTAAATGTGGCAAAAAGAAAAAAGAAAAAAAAAAAGGAAAAGAAAACGGGTGTAGGAAGAGAGAAAATGGAACGGGTGTAGCAGATTATGCTGATGAGCTAAACTATAAACATCATCTTTCACTTTCACTCTTCCTCTTGTGCCATCACTCTCCCTCTTCCTTCGAGGGTTTCTTTTCTTTTCTTTTTTTCTTTTTCTTTTTCTTTTTTCCATTTCCTTTTTTTTCCCTAAATAAAAAATCTCTATTATATATCGCTGTTTCTTCTCAAAGAAGATGATGCAGCAGAGGCTGAAGCAGCAGCAGCAACAAGCATTGATGCAGCAGCAATCCCTTTATCATCCCGGTCTTCTTGCTCCTCCTCAGGTCTTTTTTTAATTTCCTTTTTCTTAATTTTTATTTACTCCTTTTATTCATTTCAACAAGTTTGTGTCTTTATTAGGTTTTGACTTGAACATGCTATTTGGGTTTCATACAAGCTCCAAATTTTAGTAAAACTGGATTTTTTTTTTTTTTTTTTTTTTTTTTGTATTTCTTGATTGTGGTTTTGTTCGATTTTTTATTTTATTTTATGTATTTTGTCGTTTTTGCTTGTTTGTTTCTTTCTATTTTAGATACCCATGTGGAATGTTATGCCTTTATGTCAGTTTTTCTACATCAATGATTAGAACAAACTGAAGTCACTGTGGTTGAGGTTGCAGTGTATTGTGTTTGGCCAGATAGTGTTTCTATCGAAAGGCGATTAGTTGAAATTACTGGAATTGAGTTCAGTTAGTATTAGAAATTTCAATTGGGAGTTGGTATGTAACTTAATCTCTAAGCCTTTGGCTTACACTAATATTCATTTCCCATTAGTGATGTTTTGCTTTTCGAAATATATGCAGTCATTTTATAGTTTCGATATAGATTGAAATTCGAGGACAAGGTATGACCAATGGTGATGTGATTTCAGTAAAATTCCAAGTTATTGAAACAAAAATTTCACAACATTGGGGAAGGAGGAGGTGAAGGGGATGTGCACTTGGGGGGCATGGCCGTCACATATCCTCCATTCATCCACCTTTGTAGCTTCTAGGGATAAAAAGTTTTTGTGTATTTTCACGATGCATGACATACTCCTTCTATGTTGAGTTCAACACTTCAACTAGTGTTGATATAATTTTATATGAGGACTAAGGAAAACTTAGGGGTCCTTTCTTTTTTCTTTTCTATTTTTATTAACTTTTTCTAGTATTTCTTTACAGATAGAGCCTATCTTGAGTGGAAATCTGCCTCCTGGATTTGATTCAAGTACTTGCCGCAGTGTGTGAGTGCCTCATGCACATTTTTCTTTTGATTTGACAAACAATTTTCTTTTTAAATTGTCGCCTTTTGCTTGAAAAGTGATATGAGGGTTTCCAGTGTGTAGGGGTCTAGGGGAGGAGTATCATTTCTACATTTAGTTTTTGCACGTAGAAGTTTGTGTAAGAATGTGAGATTGATTCTGAACTTACATTTCATTAACTTATCAGTAGAGATTTGCAACATAGAACTAGCACTTCAAGGCTCGAGTCCAATATATGGAGTTCTAAAGCTGTTTGGGGGCAGTGGTCAGCTGTTTCCGGTATATGTTCAGTCATGTTGGAATAAAATGTATCTGCTTTTTGAGAAAATATAAAATGCCTTTTGAATATCTACCCTTTTCTGTAATTTTATCTTGGTACAAATGCTCGTGTGGTTATATACTTTACCTTTATGTGCTTTTGTATTACTTGTTCGCTGCACGTTTAGCTGCATGAAACTGTGCTTGATCAAGCACTGGTCTATATACTTAAAGAGGACATAATATTCTCAATAATCATCGATAACCCTTTTGGTTTATAATGTTATCCAAAATAGGTACGTTGGAAACATCCACCCGCAAGTCACGGAACCACTTCTTCAAGAGGTCTTCTCAAGCACTGGGCCCCTTGAGGGATGCAAGCTCATAAAAAAGGAGAAGGTCTGATCTCGTTAGTGTTGTTCATGTTTAACATTTTCTTACCAGACAAGTCTTGAAAGTTAGTTGGAACATGCTTATCTGACGATGGTAACAAATTTTTTCTGTGCAAAAAAAAAAAAAACGCATGCTTATTTTACGATGATTGATTGCTGTCCTAGTTCTGAATGCGGTAACATGTTAAGGCTTTAATGAATTTGGAGTGTAGTCACCTTGGAGCAAATGAAAATGTGAATTGGAATGGGAATTTTTCTCTTGAGTTTTCTTTTGGGGGAATCGTTTCAGGTGGAGGTGGTTATGCCTAACGATTCTGTGTTCAGTGCTTTCACATGTGTTTTGTTAGGACTTAGGGCATAGGCTCATCTCGAGGGCGAGGCATATGCATATTGCCTATTACTCAATGGAGGAAGGTGTTAATCTGATGAGGTGTACGCCCTAGTTGTTGAGACACGACTTTGGCTGCATTTCACCAGGGCGTTCACCTCACTAGTGCTTGTTTGTGCTTCTGGGGAGGGAGGGAGGAAGGGAGATGGATAGTGGTGGTTGAAGTGGTTTCTCTTTATGGTTTTTCATATAGGTGGTGTTCATGGTTTCTTTTGCTACTTTTCATATAAGCAGTGTTCTCTCTCTTCCCATTAGTGACCCCCCCCCCCCCCCCCCAAAAAAAATAAAAAATCAGCCATTAACTGTTGAAAAGAAACATTGTGATCTTTTTTTTTCTTTCACCAAAAAAAAAATTGTTGATAAGAAACAAAAAAAGAGTTGCAATCATCTATTTCCAATTTCTTCGCTCTTCTGTCATTGCGTTATTTTTGTTGTTTCTTCCTTTATTCTTTTCTTCAACTTTATGCATATATTTGTTGTTTGAAATGAATAAGGGGAGCCTCCTTGATAGACATTTGCTTTACATCTCAATGCCTCGATCTAACCTCGGAGCACCTCGACTTTGCCTTTAGCCTTTAAAAACATGGGCCTTGTTCTCTTTAACTCATAAATCTTGATAAAGCCTTCATGAATTCAGAGTGTAGGCATGATCTGTTTTTTTCTGCACTATTTATAACGTTGGAACAAGTCAAAACTGTGAATCTTCAAAATTGATGTTGTTGAGCTTTTGTAGATTGAAATATATCAAGGTAGTAAATGCATAGTGATTCCCACGTATGTTCTTAGCTCATTAACTTGTTAAGGCCTTCCTGACCTTGGAGTTTATTGTGATTGTGACATTGGAGCAATTTTACAATGTGTTGAGGATCTAGAATTTATGAATCCCTCTTGAACTTTGTAAACGGAAGCATTTCACACTGAAGGTAGTCTTGCACAAGATAGTCTTAACATTCTGTCACTCCATGATTTCTACAAGTTGGACTACACTTGTAGAGCCTGAGAAAGGAAGTCAGGAAATGGAAGGGTTGGTGACCGACCAAATGTTTGAATTCTCCATTGTCTTGTATACTGCAATATTGAAATTAGGTCTATAAAATATTGTCTTCACAGATATAGTCCTGAATTTTTGTATACTTTCTATGATGATGTATTTGTGTGAGTTTGTAGTTCATCTCAAGTCACATATATTGTTTGAGATTTCTTGATATGACACTGATAGATGGTGATTCTTATGCAATGCAGTCATCCTATGGTTTTGTGGATTACTTTGATCGCCGATCAGCAGCCCTTGCTATTGTGACTCTTAATGGAAGGCACTTGTAAGTAGATTTTCGCGATGTTCTGCTTTAAGAGTTCACTATTTTCTCTGTGGTAGGCCTTACTGGTAAAATGCAGGTTTGGGCAGCCTATAAAAGTTAACTGGGCATACACTAGTGCTCAGAGAGAGGACACCTCAAGTATGTATATTGGATATCTATAGTTTCTATCTTCTTGTTAGTTTACCATTACTTTGTTGAAAACTCAGTACTGTCTTGTCTGGCTTACAGATCACTTTAACATTTTTGTGGGTGATCTCAGTCCAGAGGTTACAGATTCCACACTGTATGCATGCTTTTCAGTCTACCCTAGCTGCTCGTAAGTTCTATCCTTGTAGTCATGTAAACCCTGACTTTGATTTTCAAAAATAATTATGTACTCAGATATGATACTCAAGTTTTTTCTTGCAGTGATGCAAGAGTTATGTGGGATCAAAAAACAGGTCGTTCAAGGGGGTTTGGATTTGTTTCCTTTCGTAATCAGCAGGTACGAAGATGGCTTTGCTCAATGATATTTTGCTTCTTATCTTGTGCATTCCACCCGATAACCCCCCCCCCCCCCCCCCCCAAAAAAAAAAAAAAAACGGTAAAAAGGTGCATGCCCTGTGCATTTTTGTAATCATGTACTCAATCTTTTTTTTTTTTTGGAATGCTTTGGCAGGAAGCCCAAAGTGCAATAAATGACTTGAATGGTAAGAATAAGCTCTCTACTTTTTGATCATTCTCTCATTTTCCATGGTTTTGTATACTGTCTCTAAAATTGCAAATTAAGAAGTTCGTTTTGGATAGAGCTCTTTACCCACCAGTCTACTATTGGGGAAAGTTCTGGTTGCTTACCTGTTCGCCTTCTTGTTCTACTTGGGATTCTATAGCATAGGACAAATTAATATTATTTTCGTTTTTTCTTTTATGGATAGCTCATTACTACATGTTCTTTCACTACTCTATGTTGGTCTTTCACTTGCAGAACAAACAGATCTTTGTACCTCCTCTAGTCTTCATCCAATCTGGTTTCGTTAGGTTCTCTTGCTTTCTGTAGGTCAATTTTTTCTTATTTTCGCACTCAATACACTTAACAGAATGGTGTGTACCAGCCAATTATACAACCTTAATGTTTTAGAAAAACAAGATTTGGCACTTTTTCTCCTCCTAGATATCATTCACATGGATGATAAGTTGGTTTCATGCCATGTTGCTGCATCATTTGTTGGGTTTTTTCTCCTAGATTAGTAGGTTCTATCGAAGATGAGTAGATCACCCTGGTTTTCTATTTCATCTTTTTGGTTCAAAATAAAGGGAAGTGGCTTGGAAGCAGACAAATCCGCTGCAACTGGGCAGCAAAAGGTGCTGGAGGAATTGATGACCAGCAGAGTTCAGAAGCCAAAAGTGTCGTTGAATTGACAAGTGGAACATCAGGTTTATTTTGTTGAATTTTTATGGTTGCTTCCATTTTCTGCTTGTTGAAACAATACTGTACTTTCAGCTGTAGTATATCAAATCAGTTTCAACGGTCGTGTGTAATTCTTGCATAATCCAAGCACATTCAAATTCAGTGGCTATCATCTCTTATTCTTTTAACAAAGTGATGTGGATTTTGTAACTGACATGAAGTGCTTACGAGAGCTTTCAGTTGCCTTGCTTTTACCGAATTAATTTACACGATGAAGAATCTTGACGCCGTTTAATATTTTTGTCTAGATGATGGTCATGAAAAGGCCAATGAAGATGCTCCAGAAAATAATCCCCAGTATACAACTGTTTATGTAGGCAACCTTTCTCCTGAAGTGAGTATTAGTAAAACGTCATTACTCCTTTCTTCGTTACTTATGGATTTGCTACTAGGGATGTAAGAGATTAACCTTCCCTGCTTGAATAAAGTAGAGGAATAGCATACAGTGGGAGTAAGAAGGAGGGAAAAGGGTCAAAAATGCCCCCGAACTATTGAAAAAGGTTTAAAAATACCCTCCATTCACCTATTGGGCTAAAAATACCCCACCATCCACCTTTTTGGTTCACTTATGCCCTTTGACCGTTAGGTCAATGCTGAATTAAAAGTAATAATTATTTAAATTCCACGTGGCAACTTCTTAGTGGTCAAAATTAAAACATCTAACACATTAGAAAGACCCACCCATATCTACCAGTTTTTCGTACTAATCCGCTTCAAATACTAACCCGACCCAAACAAAAAGTTCAACTAAAAAAAAGAGGCCCCAAAATCTACCAAAACCGTGAGATAGAAAGTTATATGATTCCAAAATCTACAAAGTATATCACTACCAACTCGTCGCTACATCAAGTGAGCTCCAAGAAGATTGATATTTTTAGCCAAGTGTTCCAAAAAGGTTAAAATCCAGTTCCTCAATGCTTGGAAATGCAGAATATCCGGAAGCGTCTACTTGGGAACTTACTCATATAAGCTCTTTACTAGCACCGCGTCGTTAGGAAGAACAAACTGGTAATGCTGTCACGCGGGGCGTCTTTTTTTTATTTTGAACTTTTTATTCGGGTCAGGTTAGTGTTGGGGCGGGTTAGTCCGAAAAACGGGTAGATATGGGTGGGTCTTTCTAATAGGTTAGATGTTTTAATTTCGACCAATAAGAAGTTGACATGTGGAATTTAAATAATTATTTTTAAAATTCAGCATTGACCTAATGGTCAAAGGGTATAAGTGAACCAAAAAGGTAGATGGAGGGGTAGTTTTAGCCCATAGGTGGATGAAGGGTATTTTTAGACCTTTTTCAATAGTTCAGGGGCATTTTTGACCCTTCTCCGTTTATTATAATTGCATTTAGATAATGGAGTTGTGTACGAGGTTCTGATATCCATGTGTGTTTCAGGTTACTTCAGTTGACCTCCATCGTCATTTTCATGCACTTGGAGCTGGTGTTATTGAAGATGTCCGTATTCAACGAGACAAAGGGTTTGGTTTTATAAGATACAGCACCCATGCTGAAGCTGCTCGAGCAATTCAGTTGGGAAATGCTCAATTCCTTTTTGGTAAACCTATTAAGGTACTGTCAGAAAACGAGAATTTTGGTTGTTTTGGCTGTATAGGTATCCCTAGACTTCTTGATGACAAAAAGAATTGATATAGACCAAATAATCAAATGAAAGTTATTGGACCAGAACCAGTTTCCGTTCTCTCTTTCCTCTGGCTTATCCAGTCGTAACGTCGTTAGGCCTGATTGGAGGCCAATATGTATAGCGACTACTTAAAGCACTTCTTTATTTCTTTTGCAAGTTAAAAAAATAAAATAAAAAGAAGGATGCCACATTTCTTACAGTTTTTATGCACCAAAGCAAGGGTAGGTATAAATTTCTTGAGCACCTTGTGTGATCCTATTCCGTTGTAGAAAGTGAGTTTCAATGATTCTTCAGGTGGTGGTGTCCTTTAAAAAGAAAAATAACCATAAGGTTTGGCATTTGGGAGTAGTTGGGTGTGTAATATCCTTTTCTTAGGGTCGGATGGGCTTGGCCAAAGTTAGTTGTATTCTATAACTAGTAGATATTCCCATTGCCTGATCTGGAAGATGGTGGTTTGATGTGCGAACTCTTCTATCAGCAGCTAAAGGCCTAGTGTATGTATAAACATGTTTAATAGAAAGAGGAAGAGAGAGGTCTTAAAGAGGATATAGTAACTGCTGTACAGGGAAACTGCCTATGTTAGTACTGGTGATATTATGTTGAAGATGAAAGTTGAAACTTTGGGACAAGGATTTGAGTCGGTCATTACGTAACTTCGTCAATACAAAAGACAACGTGAAAGAAACGATAGCTTACTGTGTGACACAATTGGCCCTTGTTTTTTTTGAATGGTTTTTAAAGCAGTTGTCCTCAAATATCATTAGTTGATACAGTGTTTTATGAAATTTAAATCTAGTGAAACTGAATCTTGTGCTGAGTTTGGCAATTTTCTGTTTCCTTTTACAGTGCTCGTGGGGAAGTAAGCCTACTCCACCAGGAACAAGTTCTACCCCTCTTCCTCCTCCAGCTATGGCACATGTCCCTGGTTTTTCAGCAACCGATCTTGTTGCCTATGAGCGGCAGCTTGCCTTGGCTAGAATGGGCGGTTCACAAGCACTCATGCATTCCCAGGCTCTTATGCATTCTCAAGGTCAGCGAATTGGTGCTGCTAGTCAAGCAATTTACGATGGTGGTTATGCAAGCATTGCTACAACTCAACCACCAATGTACTACTAGTGAATTCGATGATTGCAATCGCTAAAACACTTGCTGGTGCTCTGCTGGTTTTTGTTTAGTAGGATGGTTTTTGTTTCGTCGTTAGTTTGTTGTGTCCCAAGCATGTATGAATATGTAACTTGTTTTTCGTCTGGGAATAGCAAACTGAGTAGCTAATTCAATGGCAGTTCATTGGATTAGCAACTTTTTCTTTTTTCCCTTTTTCGAAGGAGATCTAGGAGGTGTTATGAGCCCTGTGAATCATGTTGAATATATATATATTTTGCTTTTTCCCCTTTATTTCCTAAATGGTATTGTGAAATCAATCTGAATCTTGCATATTTTATATGCCCAATCATGTCCAAATTCCAAAATGAGGAGTTGTACGCTATAGAAATCAAATGAGAGATTGGTTTTATGGCACATTATAAATGTTTTTTTTTTTGTTATGTGGAGTTTTTCACCAGAGATCACCTTAGGCAAATCTTACATCGACAAAATATCGGAAGAGATGCTGGATATATAAATAAATAGGCCTTAGACCCTAATGACACCATAGGTAAATCCCTCATCGACAAAACACGGGAGAGATGCTGGGTATATAAATAAATACGCCTTAGACCTTAAAGGAGGTGTATCTGACACCTTAGGCAAATCCCATATCGACAAAATACGGGAGAGATAATGGGTATATAAGTAAACAGGCCTTCGACCCTAATGACGCGTTTTAAAATTGTGTGGGTCTAGGCCTAAAGCAGACAATATTGCTAATGTGTTGGGCTATTACAAGAAATCAAATGAGAGATTGGTTTTATGGTAAAAATTCCATGGGGCACCCTACTTGGTCGTCTCCTTTTAACTTATACCCGTTTTGTTTTTCCGTTTGCATCTGTACCTATTTTTTTGTTAAAAGCATTTTAAAATGACGATTTTGCCCTTCAGGACTATTGACAAAACTGTAGACTGCAGGACAAAACTTCAGAATGTTTTGGCATGAAGTTTTAGCAAATGAACTAAATAAAAAACTTCAGAATGTTTTGGCATGAAGTTTTAGCAAATGAACTAAATAACTTAAGCATGTTTAGTCTGAAGTTTTAGCAAATGAACTAAATAACTTAAGCATGTTTAGTATGAAGTTTTAGCAAATGAACTAAATAACTTAAGCATGTTTAGTCTGAAGTTTAGCAANTATATATATATATATATAATATATATATATATATATATATATATATATATATATATATATATATATATAAAACTTAAATTTTATCAATAAGGGTTGTGGTTGAGTGTTAAACACTCCATCATCCTAACCAAAGCTAATAGTATGAAGTCACTTTTGTTATGGAACACTTTACTTTCTCAATGTGGGATCTCTCGGCGCAAATTAAAATTTACTGTAAAAATTGAATGGGGCATCCAATTTGGTCCCCCGCTTTTAACTTATACCAGTTTTATTTTTTCGTTTGCATCCGTACCCATTTTTTGTTAAAAGCATTTTAAAAAGACGATTTTGCCCTTCAGGACTATTGACAAAACTGTAGACTGCAGGACAAAACTTCAGCATGTTTTGGCATGAAGTTTTAGCAAATGAACTAAATAACTTAAGCATGTTTAGTCTGAAGTTTTAGCAAATGAACTAAATAACTTAAGCATGTTTAGTATGGGGTTTTAGCAAATGAACTAAATAACTTACGCATAATGAACTAAATAACTTAAGCATGTTTAGTCTGAAGTTTTAGCAGATGAACTAAATAACTTCAGCATGCATTAGCAAAAACTCATTAGAAAATTACATACTGCAAGACAAAAACATAAGCATGTTTAGTCTGAAGTTTTCGCAAATGAACTAAATAACTTAAGCATGTTTAGTCTGAAGTTTTAGCAAATGTACTAAATAACTTCAGCATGCATTAGCAAAAACTCAATAGAAAATTATATACTGCTAGACAAAAACATAAGCATGTTAAGTTTGAAGTTTTCACAAATGAACTAAATAACTTAAGCATGTTTAGTCTAAAGTTTTAGCAAATGAACTAAATAACTTCAGCATGCATTAGCAAAAACTCATTAGAAAATTACATACCGCAAGACAAAAACTTAAGCATGTTTAGTCTGAAGTTTTCGCAAATGAACTAAATAACTTCAGCATGTTTAAACTGAAGTTTTAGCAAATGAACTAAATAACTTCAGCACTCATGACAAAACTGTAGACTGCAGGATAAATAACTCCAGCATGCATTAGCAAGAAGTTTTAACTTCAACGTAAAACAACTTCATGCTACACTAGCATGGAGTTTCTGGTTTTTTGATAAAGCTACTGAGAGGAGAGGAAGAGATCTTTTTTCATGAATGAGGTTGCAGATCACGTGATTTATCAGGAATGTAAGTGTCATATTATTACGGATTTTTTGTCAACTGACTACCAAATCAATTATTTTTAAAAGGCGAAATACATAAACGGCCCCTCTAAGTTGTCCACAACGGTCAGTTGAACACCTCAATCGAGACTATTTCCAGTTAAACACTTCAAGTGGCTATTAAGTAGGTCAAGTAAACACCTGTATACAGCAGACCATATGCGTGAGTTGCACTTGCTGGTGACATGGCAAATGAACCAATCAAAAAATGACGTGTAATTTCACCATTTGACACATGTAATTAATTAAAAAAAATACATTTAAAAAATAAACTTATTTTCCTAAACCAGTGCTCCCCCCTTTCCCCTCCCACCCTCTCCGCACCCCCTCTCCTTCATCTTCTTTAGCCCATCCCTTCTACTGAAATCCACCAGTAGACCAAAACCAACAAATTGACCAAAAATAATAGAATAATGCATATAACGAAAAAATAATAGACCAAAACCAACAAAGTGATAATTAAGAACCAATTCCCATCAATAATCTGTCCAATTGGAGTTATGTAAATGTTTTAACATCAATTTAAGAAGCAATCAGCAAGTGGGTTTCTTCCAAATAACTAATGAAGCGGCAATTCGATGGCGGAGAAACCGATAGCGCCAATTTCGCCGGCGACGGTGAGCTGATGAAGATGATGAAGCAAGTTATAGAGTCCGAGGAAGAGAAGAAGTTGCCCAGTAAGATTGAAGCGGCAATTTGATGATGGAGAAACCAACTGCTCAACCTCCGCCGGAGACTGTGATTGTGGTGGTGATGGAAACTTTTGTATTTTTCCTGTCATGGAGGGTGAAGATGGGTGAAGATGGAGAAGATAATTGGGTACAATATGAAAGAAGAAAGATTGCAGAAAATTTTCCGTTAAGTAC